GAGCTTTGTGGCAGACACCACATGAACACATAACCACCATCAGCAACCCCAGCACAAGGCCTGCTGAGCACAGTCCTTGCCTCCAGGTACTTGCTTCCAGCTCCACTGAGCTCTCACAGAGACTATTCCTCACAGACCCTTCAGTTGTTCCCAAGCTCTTCCTTTACTCACTCTCGAGGTACTTCAGCCTCTCAGTGAGTACACAGCTGAGGGGTGAAAGCAAATTATCCTCTCCTAGCAGATACTCCAGCCTTCCTTCAGGTGGTCTAAGGCTATATTACTATTCACTCCTCCTCTCAAGAAAACATACATCCTAAAGTTCTTCACTCACCAATCATGTTGTGTTGTGGGGTTTTTCAGGCAGAGACATTGAACACGACTGTGAAAATGTTTCCATGCATTGCATACACTAAAACAATAAACATCCACTGTACTATAAAGAGTCATGAGAATTGAATGGCTCAATTAGGGCCCCCCAGCACTTTTAAGACTACACAGACTCAGTTCAGCGTTCACAGAATAACTTCACTGCTATCCTAGAAGAATCCCTCCCTAAGTACCATTAGGAAAATGGCAAGTTAGTATATCAGTAAACACAAATCTTGTCTTCTTGGGTGGTAGGCAGAAGAGAGGCATCAACGTTGCTTCATGCTGTCCAAGGCATGTATTTTAACCCTCACAATGCAGATCTAGGAGACTTTCTTAAGTACCATAAATTTAAGCTAGAGCCTACTCACTATGCACTTCTTCTCTACTCCCAGGGAGCTCCAGCTATGCCCTGTGTGAGGGCAGTAGGTGTGGAAGGAGACAGAAACCTGAAAAAGGAACATGTAACTGATCCAACTGGTCCAAGGCCAAGGAAATGCTTGCAAGTGCACAAGGACCCTATTACACATCCCTTGTGCTTGTAATACATCATCTAGACACTATGATAATTTTGCCTCCAAGTTCAGAAATGTTGGTAGAGCCACCCTAGTCTGCAGGAGAGCTGTGTGCTGGTAACCTTCACGACCTCCAGGGAAAACTGTTGAGCTGGAAAGCAGCAGCAGAGAACAAATCTACCCCAAGCAGCTCTCTCTCTTCTCTGCTGCAAAGCCTACCAAATCTTTTCTACTCTATAAAAGAGTTTGGTCCTTCCTTTCCCCCATGTTGCTCAATACTGGTCACTTTTTCAAAACCTTGAGACGAGCAGATGCAACTGTCTGCACTGGTTTTACTCTGGCAGCAGGACAGTGGCTCGTCCTGCTGCCCGAGGACTCTGCCAGATGGCACCCGGCTATTACACCCCTTGCCACTCAGACTCCAGCCTGTCCACACACGGCAGCAGAGGCAGGAGCTGCGGTGCCCACTCAGCCTCCAGCTGACACTACCACATAGCCGAGGCTATTACCAGCAGCAGCAACTCAAAGCATCTGTGAAAAATTCAACATTCAGCACCACAGGAACAGGGCGACTGCATTAGAAGGATTTAAACCTCTTCAGCCTATTCAGAACTGCACTTGGTGACACAGGACATCTCCCACCATGTCTTGGCCAGTGTCTAGGTTTATCCAGCACTTCCTTTCCTTTCCCAACCAAATTTGCCTACAAAAGTATTTCAAATGTAATAGTGCATTTTTTTTCTATTAGATATACATGCTTCTCTTGTTCAGTGAATGCAGCTCAATATAAAAGGCATTCCTAAAAATGGGTTAAAAAACAACCATCTCTCTTATGATGCAAGTTTCTGAGAAACAAAGGAAAGTGGAAATGCTACCACTCCATTATTTCCACCACTTAAGTGGATAAATGACAGACAGAAAGGTTATGCTTCCCTGAGTTTTTTCATTTACCGTTTTAGGAAGCCCCAAGGCCTGTAGGAACTCACTGAAGTGATGTGCCTATTTTTGTTAAGACACATGCTTTTCAGAATAATGTGTAAACTCAAGCCTACGTGTGGTAATGAGCCAAGGTGGCTGGCCTGACATTTAGACTGATCACTTGTGAAAAATGACAATCACCATTTGGCAATTTTTCGGCTGGCAGAAGAAGAAACTACATTGAAATTTTGATTGACTTAATCTGAATATACAAATAAAACACACCTCTAGTCAAATTCAGTGTAGAATAGAGGGCAAGATAGGATTTTATGGCACTTTTAAGAAGGTCAGAATTGAAAATCCTAAAAACATGTTTAAAAAAAAACAGAGAAACCAAAGTTTCCAGTATTTACAGGTTGATAAAACTGTTCCTGTCGCGCCCAGGATTTATGAGCGCAATTTGCTGTACTGCAGAACAAGTAATGCTGCAGGATGTGAGGTTTCATTACCAAGAAATGAGATCATGAATTGGCTGTGACTGAGACAGGTGAAAATAGATCTTCACCTATAAAAGCTCAGTGTACTCTGCATTTTGCAGTCTAGACTGACCACACTGTTTTCTCATCAGCTCTTTCTGCTACACTGGAGCACTTGCTTGTAAATGAACTCTATCCTGCTATCAAGCTGCAAAGGAATATAAAAATGTATGCCACATCTCCCATTAGCAAGATGACGCATTGCAGAGTATATGACAGGAATCCTCAGGGAATACTTTGGGATTAGAAGTGAAATACTGCACAGATGGGATTGTTGGGTAAGGGAATTCCCTCTGACCCATATAGAGCTCAGAACGTTGAGCACTTTTACATCAATAGGCAAGATCAGGATATTTTACCTTGTAAATATTTGAAGTACAGGCAAAAAGACATGATGTACTTGAAAATCTGAAAAGATAGGACAGCTACAGAGATTAAAAAATAAAGAGCAACACAAATATCTAAGTAACAAATATTCTGTAACATGTAGGGAAGATGAAGAGGTATGCAAACACAGAATGGAATTGCCATGCAAGTTGTTAGAAGCTAAAGATCAGGCCTCACTTCTCCTAACCTATGCTAACCTAAGACTGAAGCACAATTATTCTCTGCATACACTCACTCTCAAACATCAGCAGTTAAAAATCTTCATTTGCTCTCCAGCAGATTACTAGAGCTATAGCATTGTCTGCTGTTGAGAACCAGGTTACACAACTTGTAAAGCCTGTAGAACTCCCAGACAAACCCCATGTTCATTGTAGGATTCTGTGCCTTTCTATCACGGCCTGTGTATCATTGTTGTCCTCAGTATCAAGGGTTCAGGTACCTGAAGGATTTGCAAAGACACAGAGGGCTAACTCCAGCTGAATTCCATAGTGAGCTGGACATGACATGTAAGCCCCCACTTGACATAGGTCAGTGCAAGGTATTAGCACCATGGCACCAAGCTCATTAAGTATTCCACCAGTACCTTCAGGTTTCCTTACACATGACTGAGTCTAGCCATTGTTTTCAAGCTTGGAACTGAATTTTGAAATGCTTGTACTGAACTTCTGTAGTAATCTGTGAGGCTCCTTATGACTAAAGATCTCTGTTCATCTCCCTGCTGATCTAATAGGCATTGCCAAAGCTTTGGTATCTCATAAATCAGCCAGATCTGTTATATTTAAAAGGAAACAATGATGGAGTCCCAGAACAGAATCAGAGTTTGCAAGGTCCCACAGAAGACACCCCTGGTGCCTCACAGAGGGGTCACTACAGCTTTGCCTAGGGTGTTCCACTGGTCCCCAGTGATTTAGGCTCCACAAAATCTCCAGAGGGCACTCTTTTTCCAGTGTTCTGCTATCCTTATTTTTTTGCCTCTTAATAAGAAACATGAACTTGTGTTGTTACAATTAGATGCCATCATATCTTCCTAACCACCACAGACAAGATTAACCCCTCCTTTTAAAAGCTCTTCAGGACTTCTCTCAGACTTTTTTTCTCCCCTTTAAGGTGAAAAAAATAATTTTGGTCTTTCCATAGTACTGCTTATTATACCCTTAGTCACATCTGGTGCTCTTTATTAGACTTTCTCTCCTTGTTCTACCATTTTTTGACGTAGAATGCTTAACACTCAACAGTCTTCCAAAATAAGGCTTTACCTATGCTCACAAAAATGAAGGAATTCCTTTAGACCTTTTCCAAGCTTTGCAGCCACTTATACCTCACAAGACAATTTTTTTTGCAAAAGCATAGATTAATCTCTCATTTCCATGCCAAGGCCACTATTTCCAGCTCAGCTTATAGCCATAAAAGACTAGTAATAGCTGGAATTTGGCAAATGAGTGCTAGTTGGTGGTCTCCACTCAGGTCCACATGGATTCCTGTGTACTCCATGGGCAGAGAATACAGGACCATATTAAGTGGTCTACAATTGCACAGCACCAATTTGCTCATACCTCCCAAACGTGTAGGCGGGGACTCCAGAATGAACTGGCTACATCTTGTACCATCTACATTTCCTACAGGAAGTCCACTCTTTTAAGACTAATAAAGAAAAGCTCCTGTTACCTTCGCCTACTTTTCACAACCACACTTCAGCCATCTCAGTGGTTTACTGATGACTTTCACAAATACCACACTAATTTTAAAAAACCACTTATGCTGAAACACATGACCATGCCAACATTCACATTTTCTTTTTCTAGACCATATTTTACACCAAACACTTGAAAAATATTAAACCTTACAAGTTCTCTACAAAAAAACATTTACATTTCCTTTAACAGATGGAGAAACCATAGCTTAAGTCAACTGCCCAGAGACACAGAGTGAACTGATGGCAGTTTTAGACATCAGTTCTTTCTTATACTAAGCCTATTTATGGTGAACCTGCAGACAATGGACAGCTGTATAATGCTTTTCAACCCACAGCTATGCACAAAATTCTCCATGGCAATGAGAAAAAAACACTACACAGAAAGAACAGCACTCAATACCAAACACACACCTCTCATCACAAAGTGCAATTAGAGACTAAAAGGAGAGCACTGTCCTTTCACAGACCTGCCTGCTGGCACCTACTCCCATAACACACATGACTCTACACATTCAAACAAGTAATCCAGATCCACTACTCCAGAGGAAAATGTGCCCTTTCCGAGCCCTTTGGTTTGAACCTTACCTTTCCACAAGCTACCATGGACAGGGCAAGCTGGTACCAGAGGTGAAATTCATCAAATGCAAACTTCATGGCTCTCTCCAAGCACTGAAAAAGAAATGATGAAAGGAATACCAGACTTTATTTCTTTTTCTCCTTATACCTTTTGTCAAGACTGCTGCTTGGATAAAGAAACACTGTTGTGGCCCTGGAGACCCAGGTGATTTGTTTTTGTTTTTTTTTTCTTAATGACACCATTTACATTTCTCAGCTAATGGGACGTGCTAGTGTACATCATCACTTCAAAAGGCAGCCACTTGGTTCAAGTGCCTACACATAAATTACTTTAACATCTCTAATAGTTCTGTGTGCCTTTCTGGCCTGTGCAGCCATAGCTCTGTAGCTGTTTCTGCTGATCACTAACTAGCACACTCCATTTTCACCTTCCCCAACAAGCCACCACAAAGAGGGGTTTTGCCAGCGTGTTTGGAGGGGCAGAGGCCGAGGGAGGTACCTCAGACAGCATCACATACTGCCCTCTTCTGCCCAGCGTGATGCTCAGGAGGTCGTAGACTGCAGAAGCATCCTGGAGGCTGACGGCTCGGTCATCCTGCTGCTCCGGGGCTCGGCTGATCACTGCGTCCCGGTTCGCCTGGGCACACACACCAGTGAGCCATCAGAAACCAAGAGAGAAAAACAGAACTGACTCCTCCATAGCAAGCTACACCCACCACTCAGAGGATTTTGTTTAAAATAATTTCAAGGTTTTTTCTTTTAAAAGTTTATCCCAACAGAACGAAGGTGCTTCCACAGACATGCTTTCTACCCACATGAAGGAAACTCAAGAAGATAGCTGTATCTAGAGGAAGGAACTGCTGCATATATCTCATCTGGATTTGTGTCACAGAATTAGAGCATTATGAAACAGACCTACCAGATCCCATTTCCTTAATAATTAGAAATTCAAGGCCATCCTTAAAGCATCTTCCTTATTTTCTCATTAATTAGAAATTCAAGGCCATCCTTGAAGCATCTTCCTTATTACTTCAATTGCCTGCAACTGTGATAACTGTTTCCAAGGTTGATAATTTATCTTCCATGTCTACACTAGATTTCTTCATAACAGCATCCATTTTTGTTGTTCTTTTTTGCTACTGACCTTTTGTTGTTTAATTTGAGCAGGTTGCCTAAGTAATCAGATTTGCCTGTCATCAACTTAAAGCAATTAAAGGTTTGGGCAATGCAAGAAAAAGTTGTTTTTTTCAAATATATTTTATGTGTCTTAATTTTGCTAATCTATCAGTACATGGCTGGGCCTAGATCAGGAAGCAACTTTTGACAGAAACAATCAGTTCAGCAATTTCTGAGGATGTCCCAAAATACCACATGCCACAGACTCAGATTTACCTCTGAATCCCAGCCCTTTGAGCTTTTCTGAGCTCAAAGAGGGAGATTACAATTCCAGAGTAAACGGAAAAGTCCGTCTGATTTCCTAACACAGACTACCCAGCCTCTGGGAGAGGCAGTGCTGGATGCCACTCAGCCTGAGCACCATCTGATAGCACAGACACACTGCCCTAGGCTGCTCAGCTGAAAGGGGTGCAACATCAGACACTCAAGTCTAGACATCTAAAAGATCAGAAAAATTAAGAAAATTGCCAGCAATCTCACCTTGAGCAAAGGCAAACAAAATGTTCCCTCCCTGAAACAGGAAGGTTATGAGATTTATTTTACAATACAACTATAATCTTACACCTATTTCCTTCTAATTGTGGTAAGGTTTTTTTCCATAAAAAGGTTAAACATGGGAATTAAGCGTAATAAAAATTTCCAGAATATGCAGCCCTTAAAGCCCACGCGTACTTCATTGTGGTTAAGCTGCAGCTGTTTCATCATGATTTTATCTGTGTAATGCCCCAGTTCCAAGCACTCTTCATCACAGCCTCCAGCCGAGACTGCAAACAAAATTACTGACAACTAACACAATCTCAACCGAGAGCTAAATGGTGACTGCAGTTAAAGGCAAGCTGACAGATCAGACCCAGTCCAGTGCTTGCACAAATAAACTTACAGCAACTCCTGCAGCCACAAAGGCATTTTTCTTTCTCATGCTACTGCAAAAGATGCAATCCATGATGAAATAAATAGTTTAGGACAACAGAATGAAAACTATTTTAAAAGTTCTGCAAGAGTACAAAGGCATAACTTCTCTATCATTATTAGCAGAAATTAAAAAAAAATAAAAATAAATACATGTTTAAGCTCTGTTTGGATTTAACATAAGACTGCTACTTTAAAAGGAAAAAAATGAGTTAAATAAAGCTATATACTGTATGATCCTTATTGCCAAGTGAATCCTCCCACGTATATACAATAGCATTAAGAGTTTTTTCTGCAGTGGTTACATTGTTATGACAATTGTTTGTAGCAAACAGCTACTGAGCTAGCACCCCCACGCTCTGTAATCTCATCAACAACCTCCCATTACAGTCAGCTATAGCCTGATGCTTGAGTATCCATCAAGCACCAAGCTATGATTTTTAAGTGGATGCATTAGCACAGATACAAAATTAATCAAAACTCATGACCGTCCATCATGTTTTGCCACAGATACTGGTACTAGAATGAAGAACACACCCCAGTCGTGCAAAAGCAGGAATACAGGGCATATTACAAGGATGCACCATTCCAAAATTGCAGTATGATATATTGTATATATCATACTCAAGCAGACAGCGGTTAAATGCAACATAAGCACACACACAATGAATGTTCTTTCCAAGAAGGTCATAAACCTACTGATTTTTTTCAAGCTTTTAAATCTCAAAGCCACAGAAGGTCTTTGCCATCTATCACTCTCTATGCTTCCATACATAAAAGTTGCCACTAGCAAATTCATTGTTACTTCTATCTCAACAATTTCCTCAATACTGAACCTATTCCAAATTGCTAATTCCAGCTGCTCTAAAAAAAATAAATCAAGAGCCCACATGACAGTAGAGACCTAAAAACCCCAGAAACCCCAAAACCAAAAGGTGCAGACCTCATAAAAAACTGACTGAACAGTAGCAAGAATATGGATTGTGTCTAACAGAACAAGGTAAATCACCACCCTAAGTAAGGCTTAAGGTACTACTGCAGTGTATATACAGAGCTCAGAGAAGGGAATGTGAATCACTATTTCCTGAAACCCACTCAGGAAACTGGCATGTCTCTATGGCCTGCCTCTCACAGAAGGCAGGCTGCTGTCCCTCAGAACATCATCAACCTTTTTTTTTTCCTTTGCCTTTGTTTACATTTTTGTAAATATTTGCCAGTGAGAAATCCTGGTAGTCACTGGCAAGTACAAGGGCAAAGAGTTGCAGAGTTACTGCAATAAGGAATACACCCATTCTATGGGATGGGGAATTTTACCTATTGAAATGTGCACTGAGAGACACTTCATTTTGCATTTGAGAATACAAACAATTCTAAGCTATTAACACCAACATTTTTTCAATACCTGTGTTTCTGTTGTTTCAGACCACTGAGTTTCCTGAACACAATCGGAAAAAAGGTTATTTGTACAACACTGGTCTCAAGCAGTGTATCCATAACATAAGCAGCAATTTCAATTTGTCCTACTGCATTATTTCCTCCCTCGCTACTATTAGCAGCAGTAAAACATAGCTACAAATACATTTTCAACACCCCCACCATGACTATTCTCTTTAAGCTGCTCCCATTGTCACACAGACATGCCTCACAGCATGCAAGCAGGATGGAGAGTCATACCTAGAGAAGCTCTGTTCAAGGCTGTTTTGTGGGATGGCAAAGGTCACCAGTGCTACCAACACAAGTTTCACCACTGGGAATTAGCATAACTTGCATTATAAAGGCAAGAATACACAGTAAATACCCCTTTTTTTGAAGTATTCTAAGGTACATGAGCAACCCAGAGATATCTCACAATTGGAAATTTTGGGATGCATAAGGCACAATTAGCTGTGCATGTACATGGCTCAGACATGACACCACTCCTATCTGGGGAGATAGGACACATTTTGTAGTCAGCCCAGACCTAGGACATTGAGAATCTTCATCCCCCCTCTCCACAGCCCAGAAACACAGCCCATCTGCAGACCACACACACCCAAGGGGCTCCAGCCCAGGCTGGTAGCACTGAGCTGACCCAGCATTCAGTCACTGTGGTGTCTCTGAACCTGACAGGGCACAGAACCTGGGGGTCAGCAGGGCTTTTCAGTCTGGCTGCAAACACAGCAATGCCACCATAGGGAACTTTCAGACCCATGCTGGCTCTGCCAGCTGGGAACAGCTCTGCCTTTCCAAGCACCCACAGTGCTGAGCTGCACACAGCTTGGGCCTTCCTATCCAACACACAGTACACTTACCTGCAAACTAGATAAGCCCCCCATTCACAGAGGATTTGCTGTACGTGAATGATGCTTATTTATGGCTTGTTTACTTCAGGAAGGAAGGAAAAGAGCCACAGCAAATCCAAACAGCCATTACTTCAGCAGTTATTACGCACACGGTTATACTGCAGAAAATTAAATTTACCACAGTACAAAGATGTGTTTCTTAATAAAACGTCAAGTAAGCATATGAATTACAATAGAATATATTCCATGTAGCAGCCCCTTCTCACAGCAATTAGCTATGAAGTATCCTTTAATTGCTCACTTTGAAACATGGCTTCCCCTGCTTTTTTCCCAAAGAAGAAAAAGAAAGCAATTAAAATCTTTAATGAGTGCCTGCTGCCTGCCCCCTAATTCATGGGCATTCGAATGTTCAACTTGTGTCTTTTCATAATAGACATAATTGCCAGATCCACTGCAACCCATCTATACAGAACAGCAGCATGTTTTACACAGTGTACTGTAATAATGTAATTGGTGTGATTCAATACTACCATTAAGAGAGAAAAACAAATGCCGTATGTGTAAGATTGACAACAGGCCTTTGAAATCATGCAATTGATGCCTTTTCTTCTAAGAACTGGGAAATATTTAGCCTATATCCTTTGATTCTCCCTTCTGGCTGTTTTGCCTGTACTGCCAACAAAATAAACTAATTCTTCACAATAGCAAGAACCTGTTCAATGCAAGAGGCTACAGACTTTTTGCCTAAGTTATTGATCATCTCTACACAGCACCTGAAGGTTTCCCTCACTAACATATGCAAAGAAAATACTAAGGGTTGACTGCACAGCTGCTGTGAAAATGGCATGTGGGAGGATGAACAGAGAGGACAAACCATGCCCCAGGGACTCACAAAACTCCTCTCAGAGAGATACTACAACTCATTCAACTTCAGAAGCACAGAAAATGAAAACTTATCCCTTTGTGAACCACATAGCATCTGTCTCATTTCTGGTAAGCAACAGACCACAAGTTACTGGTGCCCAATTCAGATGTCAATTCTTCAAAACAGCCCCTTATAACTGCTTATTAAATATGACCACATAGATCTTACCACATATCTTACATGTTTCAGGTGCATTCTAACACCCTCTAGTGTAGCAAAACTAATTCTGGAAACACCACTGAAAGCAAGACAGACATACACCCCCAAAACAGCCAAACAACCCTACAGAAGACAGAGAAGCAGAAAGTAAGCAAATTTGTTTATGAATATCATCCTGGGTAACAAAGTCATCCATTTGCCCTCAGTTAATTTAGAAAGCTATCTACCAAGAATTCATATCCTCCTTGCAAGGCTGGAAACAAGACTTACTACTGCAAAGCAGAAGGAAAAAAGCTCTCATTCCCTGTTCTCAAGCAACTCACATTAGAACCATTTAGTCAAGAGGTAATTAGCAGAGGTAGTGTATTTCCCACTAGAAACATTCTGCAGTCCATGTTTGCAGATCCCAAACACATAGCTTTGCCTTTCAAACCAGTAAGGAGACAGCCAGATTTGCTACTGTAAATGCACAACTGTGATTTGGTAGGAACCAACAGAGCAGGCAACCCTGCCCCCCAGTTCTCTCTCTCAGCTGCCACAGTCCAATGGCCCTCAGTAAAACAGTCACGATGGTCATCCAGCTGCTGTATCACCACTGGGCTTGGTGCCATTAAAAAAAAAGAAAGGAAAAAAAGAAAAACCTACAAAAGCAACAAGAGATTCTTCTTCACCAACCCATCTGTTGGACAGCGTTTTATAAAACTAGGAACTGAAGAGCTAACAGGTTTTATTTATTTCTGTGTTTAAAAATACATGGGTTTAACGTTATTCTGTTAAAGGCATGCTCTCAGCCATGAGTTTGTTTGTTCTCACCAGTAAAAAGAACAGGACAAGTCCCAGTATCTTCCTTCCCCCTCACCATCTGTTCCATGCTCTCAGGCCCTCAAGGTCAAATCGCCTTTAGGGATTCAAATCAGAGATAAGATGGGGATGACATTTCTAATCTTTGTTACACAGGCACAGAATTTATTAGTTTTGGATACAAGGAGCTTTATTTCCAGTATGAATGAATCCAGAGCCAAAAAAAATATACCATGTTACCTGGTTTGTTTGGTGGACCACATCAGCCAAAATCCCCAGTTGTAAGAGCCAGCATTGCCAGCACTGAATAAAGGCATTTCAGAATCTACATTGGACCTCAGATTCAAGAAGGGAAGGTTTCTAAATGCAAACAAAGAACTTTTTCTTTTTTTTTAACCTCAAAAGCAAACACAAGTGTTACAAAAAGTAACACTAAGTGTTCCATTCCTGGCTCTAAGAAGCTTCTGGCTAAGTTTAAGGGCAGTGCAGTCAATTCTGAACACTCTTGAGAATAGCTATTAAAATAAACAAAACTGCAGCTAAGGGTTAGTCATGCCAAACCTCCTCTGTCTACACCCTGCAGCTCAAAGCACCGAAGTCCCTGATGGCAGAACCAGTCCTGTTCCCATTGGTAGGTGAAGCAGAAAAATCACACTGCAGCAAGTGACAGTATGTCCTCAGTTCTCCTCACAATCAGTGTCACTGGTTTAGATGGGTTAAATGCAGTAAGAGAGAAGACTAGTGGTTTAAAAATAGGCAAGTCTATGTTTCTCCAACATGTGATAAGAACACATCATTCTGCCACAGCCCATGCTTGCAAAGGCCGTGCCCAGCTGGTCTCTTGGTCTAAAGGAGAGCATTTTTGTCCTCTCAGAAACACAGCCCATCCATACCATAACTTAGGCTATACAAAAGGAATTACAGAGTAGCCAGGAGGCCACAAGCACCCATAAAGGCAGCCTCGACTGTGGCAATCGTCAGGCTGCCTGATTTGTTTCACTAGATTCCTTCATGAGAACTCTACGGCCAAAGGCTGTGACTAAATAACAGCTGGCACAGAGAAGGAACATTTGCCAAGCTCAACAACCAGGATTCTTTTCATTGTTTACTGAAATACCTCAGCTTATGAAAATAGGCTCCCATTTTTAACAGGACATAACACAGGAGGCAAGTTGTGAGAATGCCAGGGCAAAGCAGGCTACAAGCTTTCAGTGAAAGTGTTAATACATCCACAGAAGCATCTTCAGAGCCTTGAAAGAGGATACTATGCTATTTGGCCATTTGAAAACCTTCTACATACTTAGGCTCAAAGGGAGAGTGAAATAATGAAGAACTGTTAATTGCCTCTTTCGAATATATTCTCATTTCATCCCACCAGAATATGCAAATTGAATCCCTTGCAATGCAAGAGAAAGGGATAAGCCAGAACCGTCCACCATTAAGAGCCAGACAAGGTTTGGTGAGAAACAGGCTCTGGCTCTCAAGAATCTCAAGGCAATTTCTTGCTCTCTCCTTCACAGGAACAGTTCTACTCCCCCATAACATCTTCTTGGAAGTCATACAGATCCTGGTAAAGCAGATGTCAGCTTCACCTTAGAAAGGCAAGTCAAACATAAAAACAAAGTGGATTTCAGCAGCCAAGGCGCTCCAGGTGTATACTTCTTGAAAAAGTACCACATCTCCTTTTCAGCACATATTTACTTAGAGGTTCTCTGATGATTTATGCTCCTCCCCAGTTCATCTTTGCTCTGTGCCCTCCACAAGCTGAATTTTTTTTTTCTGGGCCTCCTTCCCCTAATTCTCTCCCTCTTCAAGGTAGTTTTGGAGTGGTAGGAGTCAGGAACTGGTACGTGAAGAAGCTGTTTGGCTTTACAGTCCTGCAAGAGAGTTACAATGGCCTGACTGCTCTTCGTCTCTTTAAAAATCACAGAGAAGTACCACCTTTCTGGTCAGTTTTGCTCTGACAAACCAAACCATCAGAAAAGCCAATGTTATTGCATACTTCTGTTTCATTTTAAGGGGTCCACAATTGCAAAATACTGGAAGAACACCTAATCCAGCCAAAACCCAGGAACACCAACTGTGTAGCTTACTGGCCTACAGAAACACTTGCCACTGATATTCTCTCCAAGAAGCAAAGTATATTTTATTCAGTTGTTAACTTTGTATCATTAGGGAGACACCTCAATTGGAAATCTGCTTCCCCTTAGCTCATTTCATGAGCTTCTGAAAGTCGTTTTTTCTAAAGAAAAAAATACACAAAACTAAAAACCAAACCTTCAAACAAATAACAAACCTGTACAAACCTGTAGGCTAGTGAGAAAACTCACAACTCTACAGCAATGCTGTTCTGGAAAACATGTCATGCCATAAGTTAAACAAAATTTCCCCTTCTGAATGCCGTAATAAAAATGCACAGTAAAGTATTTATGGATTACAAACATATATAAGAATTAGACTGCTCCCTCTGTTCCTTCACTTCGGAAGAACATTCATGTGATTCCTAAGTGTATTTCTATACACTTGTCCTGAATTTTAGTTAGAACAAACTCGTGGCAAGGTTGATGCAAGATGAAGGCTCAGATGTTCCATTTCATCAAAATAAGAAATACAGTTATATGTCTCCTACAGTGCTCTGCTAAAAGAGCTTCTTCTGTTTGTTTTATAAGTAGCAAATCAAAGTGCCCTGCATCTTCCTCCAGGAAGTTCCTATATATCGGAAGCAGCATTTAGGCACACACCAAGCTTACTTATTTAAACCTGGAACTCAGCACTGCAGTCCTGTTTCTACCAATACCATTTTCACACTACTTCATCCATAACTTAGCTACAAGACCAGTTAGTTCACCATTTGATATGCTATTAGATAGGGATAACTTTCTCCTCCTCAGCAGAACAAGATTGTGGAGTTTGAGGTCCCACATGGCCTCTCTAACAGCAAGTCCAATCCCAGAAAGGCTGGAGCAGCCAGTTTTGTCACTGCTCCAGACCCCAGTCCTCCTCCTGCTTGGATCAGCCCCAACAAGCCCCACTGATATGAGTACTTCTGATTTTAACAGAAGTGCACATGACATCCTACAAGCCCTCACTCCTGTAGTCTCCACTTCTAATTATGAAAAGCCCTTCTGACTAAAGAAAAACCCTTGAAAACACAAAGCAGATGTGCTGTGAAGGTTTAATCTAGAAAGCACTGAAAAGCACATAGCAACACTCAGATGTACATGATTTTGAAGTCAATTTAATATTTTGGGGTGGTTCCACCTCTTCAATTTTCCCCTGAATTTTAAAAGCAGACAATATTAAATTGCCTGTTCTGAAGAAGTATATGGGAAAGGGAAAGAACTTGAGCCAGAAGAACCAGACAAGAAACACTGAAGGAAGCAAAAACCAAAGTTTCCACAGTATTTTTTTTCAATTGTCTGAAAGTTATTAAAAATTTTCTAAGAGAGTTGTTGATGTTCCAAGGTTTTGAATATCACTTTGAGGTACAAGTGACCACTCTGTATTTAAAGCAAAATACACATTACTTAAACATTTTCAGAAAACATTTCTTACACATTTTCTGTGCATTTGCATCTTCTCAGAACATGAAAATTACCAAAGGTCACCATGCAGTTATTTTTCCTCCAATTTTCTGCCTGCCTCTTAAATGGATTTTTAAAGCCACCAATGTTATAAATAGAAGAAAACCAATTATTTCACTGTAGCTTATTATGAATGTTTCTGCATGTCACAAGATTTCCTGTACCACTGCATCAGAAACTGCCAAAGATCACTCCAGACTGAAAAAGCCAACAACTGCACATTAAGGCATGAAAGCAGAGTACTGCATCCTGCAATTCCAAACAGCACGTACCACCATCAAGCCTGGCTTTAGGCAAGGCTCTCTTCCTCTCATTCTTGATCCATAAATCCACAGAGATGTTACGAATGGAAACATCTGTCCACTGACAATGTATCTGGATGTCAGAACCTGCACACAACTATGGTGAATGCAGTCAATTTATCTTCTTGACAATTGCCAAATCTCTTCAACTAACATTCCACTTCATGCAAGTGGTGGCACTAATAAAATAATAGATACCATTTTCTACTCAGCATCTGAACTTTTGCTTCTGTTTATCTAGGGAAGATTCTGTAAACAAAACCAACCAGGAGACATGGAAATGCTAGATATCCCTTTGCACTATTAATACTACAAACTCATTTTTGGCTTACCATGGATTCACTGATTAGGAGGAGGAGAAGAGCCTCTTCTACATTGTCTTGAGGGCAGTACACACTGAAAGACAGAACACATTTTTCTGAGGAAGATCAAGAGTTATCCTGCCAGCTTCTTTCTCATTTCACAAGAGAATCGGTAACTTGAAACATCTCATTCATAATTCATTTGCTAGGCAATACTGTCTTTGCAGGTTCACACAATTAAAAGCTCTGCAATATATCTTAGATGAGCTATACTGAACCCTAAATAGATTATTTCAATTTCATAGCAAAGACAGCCCCTTTGGCTGGACTTGCTTCTTCCTGGGGAAAAAAAAACCCACTCAAAGTTTAATGTTTTATTTTTTCAGCAGACTTTTTTAGTTGGAAGTTGAAAAACAAGAAGGCACAAAACTACTACATGAATCAGTGACATAATTAGTAGTACTGAAGAGTGTTCAAATACACTCCTTCCTCCTTCCAATAAACTGAAATAAAAATGAACACTTACTTCTCTTCTGAGTACAGCTCAGGCCTCCGACAAAGAAGATTGCTAACATAAGATTGATATTCCTTGTTCATGAACTCAGGAAGTGGATCAGATAAAGGGCTCCAGTAACAGTCTTCACTGAGGGAATGGAGAAGTACTTGGGCTAACTGTTTGGCTGCAGTCTAGAGATCAGTACAGAAAAAAACATATCTCAGTGAAACCTTCTCCAACACAAAAGATTCACCCCTCACCATGTTCCACCTTGGGAAGAAAATGTACCAGCGTGACAGTACCACTCTTCAGAAAGCTGGAGTAGCAAAATCAGCTGCTAAGGTCTACAAAAGGGTCAGTTTCTTCCCTCCTGAGAAAAGACCAAATTTCTGCATTTACATGGTCTTGTTGCAATGCTCTAGGGAAAAAATTATCAAAAAGGCCTGACAGGAAGGGATGCTTTGGTGAACAAGGACAACTGACTGCCACATGGACTGCTGAGACAATCTCGCAATAGTTACTATATAGGAGTAGGATGACATGACAAATGTGTTCTCAGTCTCAGAATTTTGTATGCAAGTCTCAAGTCCAGAGGCAACTTTTGTGTTGGCTTTAAAAGATCAACCTTTTATCTGTTAATATCACTCCCCCTTATAGACTCTTATAGTTTCATCTTGGTGGTACTTCTCTCTTCCTGATGCAGCAAAGGAGGGAGGAGAGAAGATGCTTAGGAACTTTATAGTGGGACAGCAACATCACATGTACTTATTTTACCATCAAGCAGCTCAAGACCCTTCAATAGCTGCTTTCCACTTCATACACACGGCTGGCAAGCTGGGCCCAAAAGGAGGCAAGTTAACTTCACTTAGCAAAACTATCTTTGGCATATACCCTTGTGTGATACCCATCAAATCTCTAATTCCTCACACTGTACATGGATGAGTCTGCAAACAAGCTCAGAGACATCACAATGGGTGGTGCCCTCTGTGAATTCTAAGCAGCACACCACTCTATGCTGTAAAATAAATCCTGTACAAAAAAGAGGGCAGGCTGAAACTTCAGCCCTTCTGTCCTAATACTTGCAAATAGTATTTTGCATCTTCTCTCAACTACTGGATATGTATTTTATATTAAATGTACACTTAGAGATGTGTTATGAGCCCACCAACAGAAATTTTCTTTTAAATATCAGGACACATATGTTATAGATGTCATACCTCAAAATCTATGGGATCAAATAAGCCACACTTAAGTTAAAGTTCCTATTGTTAATTACAGCAAAATAACTTGTTTTGACGCACGGCTCCTGATTTTCACACCCCTCACCACACATGAATTCACTAAATTAGTCTAAAATGCAACCACAGTACTGCCTCTTAAACATCATAAAGGGCAGCTTCATAGATGCAGAGGTCTGAGTGTACCATGGTGTCTCAAAGAAATGTCACCATGTACAACTCCCTGGAAACCCCAAGACCTTCCCTGCCCTGCTACTGACAAGTTACAGAAAGCTGTCTGTTTCTAACTAAGCTTTTCTATGCTTTTTATAGCAAGTAACTATGAGCAAAATAGCCTAGGGCCCTGCAACATTAGCTAGTATCATTTTATCATCTCAGTGTGTAATTATTTAGTCAGTTTTACCCTGAGGAATCAACTCTCCTCTATTTTTTCCTACAGTCTTAGAGGGGAGGGAAAATAATTTGCCAGCAATACAAAGATACTGGTTCACACAGAAATAGGAGTACAGTTTGTGGTAAGCCATTCAGAAGGCAAGCAACAAATACTTCTAGTGTCTTTAATTTTAACATACAGTACAGTAGCTATGTAAATTAGCTTCACTCTTGTTTTGAATAAGACCAAACAAACCAGAACAGGCCAAGACTCTGATTTATGTTATTACTGCCTTTGGCTAAAAAAAGCATCATTATGCTTGAAGAACACTGTGATCCCACAAATTAGGGGGGGAAAAAATCACGTGTTTTACTTTCATGCTTGAAAAACTTGTTTAATTAAGCACAATCCTCCCTTTGCCTTCTTGAATGCCTCTTTAAAAATAAATAAGAAAATGAAAGTGCAACTTCTAAATCTCAGGAAAAGCTATTGAATGAACACCTTGAGAGTTGCCCAAAGGGATAAATTCCCCAGGGGTGTTGTACAGCTGTCTCCAGTTGCACAGGGACTGGAGCAATTGAGCCACATTCTGTCACAGTCTAGGAGCACCAGATGGTTAGACTCATTTCAGCAAAATGATAAAACAGGCAAGCACAAAAATATTGCTGAACCCTGATCTCAGTTTGGAATGGACAATTATTTAAGTAATCTCTTCTAATTTGCTGCACAAGCTTCCACATGCATCTGTATTCTCAAAAGCACTACACAAACCCATGCCCACCTCCCCTGCCCAAGTTCTCTGGAATGACACAAAACACAAAGCAGAATCAAGTACAAGTTTAGCTGTAAGAGTATCAATGGTTTTAGGGCTGCAAAGCTTTCATTCCCAAGACTGTTATTCTGCAAACTATTGACCTTGTCACCTTCTGAGTAACTTCAGGACAAGATCTCTCCAAGGGGAGACAGGGAAGAACCTGTTAAAGGTCCAAGAAGTTAAACAGGCACATAAATACTTCTTTACCTGGGACATTCAGGATAAAAGGATGCAAAGATGCAGAATGCCAACACCAAAAAGAAAAATTTAAAACAATTAAAATCACTCTGTACTGTATTGAAGGGGACTTGTACAGAAGGAACACTGAGATATCAGTCTAAAAAAGCACTGCTTGCTGCAAGAGACAGAAGTACTTAATGCTTTTACATGTAAATGCAGAAAGGTGTGCATGCACACTGAAACTGAGAAAGGTGACGCTGTCTTGTTTTCTGAGGACAGCACTGCAAACTAATAACATCTCTGTTTCTACTAGGGCTAGAAAATGCACTGAAACCAAGAAAACAAAACAAAACACAAAACACAAACGCAAGAGAAGTAACCTGTATGGCCAGGTCTGAAAGGTTGCAATTGGGCAGGTCTTTGAATTAAGGGGATCACTTGATATATCACTTCCAAAAGTTAAAAAAAAAATTTAAAAAGACAAAGCCAGCAATCAATCAAGTGAGGACAAATACACTTTTGTGCTACAGCACTGGTCAATCAAGAGAATTCCTGCATACCAGAACTGCCCCACCCTCCCATCTCCCATTCCCTTACCATTTTGAAGGTCTGAGTAGCTTTTGTTTCTACAGTCCGTAGTATTTCTCGCAGACTCCTCATTCCTTTCACAATATTTCTATGGGGAAGACAGAAAAAAAAATAATGAAAAACTCCCAAAATAAGCACACTGGAAACAGAATATTTTTATGATGTGGCAAAGCTCGGCAACACACCTGATGTTCAAACAACCCCTGAAACAATCACTAACAGTAGTGCAGTAGCGAGACAAGTCACTCTGAGGCACAGACAGGACAATGGCACAGAGCAAGGAGCGACGGCAGCATTGCCTACTCCAGATGGCTTTCTAAGAGAAGATCACATTCACATTTGATGAACAGAGGGGACATTTGGAAGCCTTTCATAGCTCATATTTATAAAGCAGATGCTGCTCCTTAAAAGCATGCACATCTCCTCTTCATACACACAGATTGTACTTGTTTGAATTATATTGAGCTTACGTGATGCTTTTAAATGACGATTTCTTTTAGGTGGTGCTTAAACGCTTTGTGTCTGATGGTCCAGGCACATGATGAAATTACAATGGTTAAACAGTTAATTATCAGGCAGCTAAGTTGCAGTAACTGTCTGCAATCACAGCTTAACCCTCAGTAAAAGGGTTAGACTAAAAAAAACAAATTTAAAAAAAAATCATATTATTCTCCATACACCATGAGCAATTAAAGCTGACTAGTTGCCAAATGCTATCTTAATCGTACCCATGCACTCAGAGAGATGTAGAGAGGAAAGATTAAACACTGTACATATCAGTTAACATGCTGGCAGCCTATCAGCTGTTCAAGGCTAAGGACGTGGCCCCACCACCACAGTAACTGCAAAATGGTTCAGTGCACATTCATTGCAGGGTCAAAGCTACCCAAAGACATACAAGCTAACAGAAAAGAAGCAATGTTGTACAAGACAACAAAATAAGCAGTTGTACTGGTACATTAACTGTCACTTCAGCTTATCCAGGAAAATTTTCTGTGCAGACAAAAGCTAAATCTCATTTATAAAGAAAGCCATAAAAACCTTTTCTGTCAAACTGATTAAATTTTCAAGGTAAGCAGTACAAATTGCACTTGTGCCTGCTTTCCTGCACTGCAAACCTTCTTGCACTCCAGTATCAACAGCAAACATTTGATGACAATAAAAAAAGGTAATTATTTTGGAGGTGTAGATAAAAATGTCATCATGTTTACCATGAATATTGGCCACATAAAATGCCACCCTAAAGCTTGTAGTCACCATGTCACAGAATGTAAATGCATATGGCCTTACTTTCAAGCAATACCATCTCAGTTTCAAATTCTGAGGTAATCTGTAGACTGTCTAATCATAGGCAATGTATAGGCAGGCAAGAAAGTAAGACAAGGGCAAAAAAGCTGAAAACTTGTAGAGAAAAGTCAAATGCTGTCTTCCTTCCTTCCACTTTCTCCCAAGTAAAAAATGTGCTTCAAATTTATCAAGAGAAAAAAAGGTCAAGAATGTTTTTTTAAGTTGGACTTAAATACTTCAGCAAACACTTCAATGACAGGGCCAAGACACCAGGAGCTTTTTTGTGGTTCTAGAATAGAATATACCTACAAAGATGCAGTTTTGGACCTTATGTACAAGTAGTGATCAAATCCAACAGAACTGTTTAATAGTTAATAAATTCCTCCATCAAAACAAAATTCAGCTGCCCAACTGCTCTTCCAGATTACTGAAAACTACCAGCATTTTCTGGTCTTCCATGGGCTACTTAGGCCAGAAGAGTTATGGAGTATAACAGTTATACAGCATTTTCAAAAATGCATTTATTTAGGTCTCTTTGACCTAAATAATGACATTTATCTTATTAAAGTGCCAATGAATTGCATTAACTAACATCAGAAAGAAGACTAGTGACCACTTGCAAAACAAATTAATTTCATATTTGGCACATACTAAACAAGAAGAAAAACCTACTGAATGTGATAAAATGAGACAGCTTTGTTTCTAGAAAACTAAGGCACCATCACAGTTCAACATTTTAGACAAGGCCATAAAACAAGTTAAGCCTCCTGGCAGAAACACCTTGCTCTGGGGCGGAGGAAGGGGAGAAGAAAAACAAGGAACAGACACACTGAAATGAATGAAAGAATAAATCGCAAATTGCTGCCCATCTGTCAGTAGTCAGGGCTGGAACCATGCAGCACATGACAAATGCTTAGGAACACCTTTAACAGACTTAGGAGTGCAAAATGGGTGGCACAGGTGGTATGCAGCACATGACAAATGCTTAAGAACACCTTTAACAGACTTAGGAACACCTTTAACAGACTTAGGAGTGCAAAATGGGTGGCACAGGTGGAGCACCCACCACCTCCCAGCTGCCCTTGCGACCAGGACAGATCAAAGAGTACCCACTCCATCCCCTGAGCTCTCAACAATACCAGTTCTACAGGACCGAGGATTTGGTTTGGCAGCTTTTGTATTTTGAACTTCATCAAACATTACTGAGCTGTGACAGGAAACAGAGCACACCTGCCTGCAAACACAGGAGTTTGTCTTTCCACTCTACTGTTCCAAGCCAAGAGAGCATCTGAGCACATTTCATTTTGAGCATGTGAATTGCTCTGCCTATAAGGAAACTCACTGTTCCATTAATATATGTCCTTTATATACTAAATGTGCAATTGAAGGGATTTTTTTTTTTTAAATTAGGACCTTAAGAAATTAACAAAAAGAAAAGTATGTATTTGGAACAGAAATACATGCTATGTAGGTGACTGGATGAGGATGCAGTCATAAAGCCTCTGGCAATCCATGGTGCAAACACTCGATCTTACTTAGATTAGAAACCAAACAATCTTGAGCCTCTGAAGGACTTGGATACAGGACTATCTGGAAATCCCAGGTAATGCTGCCTCAAGCCATGGCATCATAAGCGAACATTAGATCATGGAAAAAAAAGGAGCTGGAAGAATCCATAGGCCCCTATTGTATTGCTAAGAGGCCAGAAAAAGAAATTAGGAAGAACAGGAAGGGAAAAGGACATGATCATTAAACTGCCTTGGTTTTAGCTTTAGCCAGAGTAGCAGTCAGAGCACCATCTGAAAAAAACATGGTAAAGAGCAGTTTTGGATTCAGTTATAGCTAATCTAATAAAATTGAACACAGACAACCATGGGCACAAACTGTGATAAAGAGCAACTTTATTGTCCAGTCAGTCCAGCCTGGCATAAAAATTTGTTTTGTGCATGTACTCTATTAATATAGATTAATTACCAGTACCATGAATCAAAGCAGTCAAGCAGAGTTGTGTCGTACAGTCTGGCTAACATTACATAAAATTTAACATAACATTACATAAAAGACACTAGAAAACAAAGAAGTACGCTGTTTGCTATGCAAATTGCTGGGAAAAATATTGACAACAAAGGAGTGGACCGTGGACACAGAGGTTGGCAAAGACAGTCCCCCAACAACATGGTCAACAGCAGATCATGTTCTCATCCCCCATTCATTTACTGCTAAAACAATTAGTTGCTGATAGAACAGACCATCTTGAGATAATTTCTTGGCAGTTTGCAGCATCACCTCTCCAGAGTAAAGCAGTACCCAGAACACAGAAACAGCAGTAACATCAACTGCCTCTGCCCACCTCCTTTTGCATCTTTGCACCTCATCCAGCTTTCTAACAAACTATATCCTCTCCTTAAACAGCTGTTCATGCATAGATACAAGAAAAGGCAAAAAGAAATGAGCCTACAAATGATACATCTGCATCAGAAAAAAACCAAAACAAACAAACCAACCAAAACCCAAAACCTAGTGCAGATGATAACCTTAACGAAACTGGCTGCCTCTTACAGTATGGCAGCATCTGCCTTCCTATGTTCTGCATCCACAGCATCAACATTCCTCACTGGAGGACCAAAGAAATCTTTCTTGGGTTCCAGCATGGCAAACAACTGCAGGAAATGCATCTTCAGCAACAATGTTTTTTCATGGCATGTCATTAAAAGCATCTGTGACTTCTACAGCTGCAAGACTTGCCACTCCTTACAGCTGGCAGTTCAATACCTGAAGGGGAGACTGGACCTTTCTTTCACACTGGTGTCTTCTTTTCACTACACACTGCAAGAGAAAAGGGCATCCCTGACCACACTCTGAGAAGAACACATCTGATCCTGCCAGCAGGAACAAAAGCATAACAACAGCACTTGTATCCCTGAGCTCTTCTGCCTGTTGAGACAAAAATAAAACACTCACTATTCCTTTTGTGTACATGTAGCACAGGGGAAGGACATCCCACCTCATAGAACCTACCCCCTGAGAGCCTGAGCAGTCATCATCCAAGGCCTATTTCCTACCTGAACATGCTGGAAGCAACAAGGGGAACAAAAGCATTTCTTTGAGCTGTTCAGTATCAGGTGGAGTAATCTATTATACTCATGAAGCATCCTAAAAAGCTTCTTCCCATATCCCTCCCCTTTCCATAATACATCCCAATGCTGCTCATGCCCTCTCGTGGCAGAAACCACACATTAGCATCAGCTGCGGGGGTGGACAAGTTGCCACATCCCACCAGGCTCCTTTTATCCCAGTGGACTTTGCAACCCAGGCTGATTTTTCTCACTTGCTCTGCAGGAGGTAAGAAGCCCGTGGGCTTCCACTCCCACCCCAGCTGCAGGAGCTCCATTGCTCTTTCATCAGGAGACAGCTATAGAGAACATGTTGCTGCTATTGCAGCAATTCAGCTTATAATCAAAGCATGGCTTAATTCACATGTGTATTTTGCTTCAAATTGTGTTCCTGTAGAGTTTTTTGTGGTTTGTTTTTGTTTGGGATTTGATTTTTGTTTTTAAGGCTGTCATTAAAATAATACGGGAAGGGAGCACGCAGGGCCCACAGTAATGGCCAAACTAGCCTGCTAGATATAATGAACTCATCACTGATGAAGACTGAATTTACAATGTTGCTGAATAAAATGAACATGAGTTTGATATTCAAAAGGTGCCTGGAGGACATCAGTGCCATATGTTCTAAATGGGATTTTGTTTTACTACATAGTTAATGGGCTTACTGGCAAGAACTGAGCTTTTTGTTTGCCCTGAGAAGGGCAGAAGGTTAGGAAAGCACATACTGTGCCACAGCTGGCCAACCCCCAGCTCACCTGGGAAAACCACATACCAAGCAGACACTGAGACTATGCTTCACAAGTTCATACTTCACTTTATGCATAAACTTGTACTTTCCTGACTAAAGGGGTCATTTTACAACATCTGAGCTATGTGTTTTTGTAAGCCTCGAGGTTAAAACAAGGCTTACCTGAAGGCACATCTCATGGATATGCTTACAGGTACAGCTTTGCTCCACACACATGGAGAACAGTGACTATTCACAGCTGCATTTAAAGCCATCCTCAGGGGATAAAAATGTAGCAAAAAAAGCCCTAAAGAAGAAGCAAGCTCCTCCTCCAGCACAATGAAAAAATACTATCAGTTTTCTACAGAAGGATTTAAACTGATTTTTGTTGGGATTTTTTTTCCTAGTTTTTTTCTTTTCAATCTTCCCTATTTTTTTTTTGCTTTCTTTTCCATTCTACTCAGCAGGAAAAGAAAAAAAGAAAATGAGAGAAAGTATCTTTCACTGGGGATGAAAGCAAAAAAAGCCAAAATGAAATATTTGTGAACACACTTTGTAGTGAGAAACCCAGAATCTGACTCCTTGATAATAGATGGGATAATATGGTGCAAGAAGAGGACTAAGGAAGGATAGAGTCTTACAAGTACTGTTTACTCATGCTGAAGAGACACTCTCCTACATGACAAAATCTCTCCACTGGATAACCAGAGTTAATCATGTTTTGAAGACACAGCCTGGTTTAGGGAACAGCATGTCCTCACCAATGGCCTTTGGAAGTGGGCATTCACAGCATCTTTTCTGCTGATCTTGAGAAGGTTTTTCACTTAGGCTCATAAATTCACTATAGGCTTGTAGATACTAACTCCTCCTGCCCTTCTGAAGTTCACTGGGAGCTGTATTTCAGAGGCATAATAAATACCCTGGAGCAGCACTGTTCCTGCATACATTCTCCATAGTAAAAACACACAGATTTGAGGCACCGATTGGCATATTTAAGACCTTACACAAACAAACAAATGGAAGAAACTACCTGTAAGACTTTACTGAACTCTAAACCAGGCGCTGAAAATTTTAAGGGCACACAGCCATGTAAATTACACTCTCTCTCCACAGTCAAACTCCTCTTGTCTCCACAGGGAGCAAAGCTGAGTCAAGACAAGAATATTGTTCTACCCCACCTCACTTGCAGGTCTGGAAAAATGATGCTTACGACTCTTAAGAAAGACAGAGAGACACAAATAGAAGAAAGAGAAGGACACGGAGGAGACTTGAGGTGAGCCAGCAGCCAAAAGTCATAACAGAACATAAGAAAATAAATTAGTATTCATCTGAGACAAAACATGGGATATTACCTAATTTTATTAATATCTGCATCCACCTACCCTTTCTTTAACTGAGTCACGTAGGCACTCTGTAGAGCTGCTTCCAGAAAGTAGGAAAGTTCAAACTCAGAGTAAGTCACATTGCTGCCCTTGATACTCCTTGAATGTGTGTTGTTTAAGGTCTGTGAGGGGAAAAACAGAAATATCTTGGAATACAGATAACTGTCGGAATTAGCCAGGTCCTTGTGAGCCAGTGTTGAGTTTAATCTTCAACAATTAAATGCTACATTTATCAGCTATTCAAAAAAGTTATAAAATCAATTTTAAAATAATTTATACAATGACTTCCATGAGATATTCTGCATCCGAGTTTTGAAACCTTTCCAACCTTTAATAAAGTAAGCAGAAAGCTACATATTAGCACCAACAGCTTGGGAAATACCACACAAACTACAAAGATCCAGTATGTTGCACAGAAATATCAATACAATGTTTGAATAGGTTTATCTAGTTCAATATAACATAAATATTTGTTAAGAGTTAGGAAGCCATCAGGAGTCCTGATGGAAGAATCTTAATCTCTCCTCTATTTGTCCTATCAGATCTTCCTTGGTTTTGCTTCCTTACTGGCAACAAGCCGCTTTCCATTGCTGAAAGTTGCCTTTCCAAAGCAGGGCTTTTCATCTAGGACTGGAGAAGGACTATGAACTTCTACTGTGTCTGTCATCAACCCTGCATTTTTGTCTCTGTGTCCAGAGACAACTATGTGAAAGAAGGATGTAGAGAGGTGGGGAGTCGGTCTCCTTGCAAGTAACAAGTGACAGGACAAGAGGAAATGGCCTCAAGTTGCGATATAGGGAAAAATTTCTTCACTGAGAGAATGGTCCAGCATTGGAACAAGCTGTCCAGGGAAGTGGTGGAATCATCATCCTTGGAAGTGCTCAAAAAGCATGTGGTGTTGGCACCTGGCAACATGGTTTAGTGGCAAACATGGTAGTCTGAATTAATAGCTGTCCTCAGTAAATCCAGAGGTCTTTCCCAACCTTACTGATTCTATGATTCTAAGTGAATTAATTACAGGTCAGACCCTTTTCCTTCTTCACAGACCCAAGCTGTCAGTAAAAGAAATTTAAAGCGTCCAGCACTGGCAGGAACTCATTCTTCCACAATGGAAGGACAGTAATAGTTTCAATTTAAAGACTATTCCATTTCTTTTTTTTTTCTGCAGAGAAACAGAGCAGGCCTCTTCTCAGTTTCCTTTTTTAATACTTTTTTGTACATGGACTAAGCTTATTTTTTCCTGTTTCAACACAATTAAAAACAAAACTTGAAACAGAAACACACCTTTGCTACTGAGAAGAGCAGAAGTATCTGGTCAGAAGGTCAAAGGCCTTTCAGTTATGGCACAGATAACAATGCAGTGCCATCAGTACTGCTGATGCCAAGCATGATGTGTGGCATAGGAAAGGCATGGAAGCACATGGTATGTCCTCAGCTAGGCAAAGTCTGCATGTGCCCAGCAAATCAGCAGCACCTATTATCTGCATGGCTCAGTGGAAGGCTCCCAGTATCCACCCTCCCAACCACTGGCTAAGCAGCGACTTGCAACTAATCACAGAATCACTGAATGGTTTGGTTTGGAAGGGACCTTAAAAGATCATCTAGTTTCCATCCCCCTACCATGGGCAGGGACACCTTCCACTATACCAGGCAGCTCTGAGCCCCACCCAGCCTGGCCTTGAACACTTCCAGGGATGGAGGACTCAGGTTCTAATGATCTGGATTCTTCAAGGTTCACTTGGAGAAGGTGAAGCACTGGTAATTAAACTGCTATGGCTGACCCAAAAAGGTTTCTTTCAGCTCATTAGGGATCTCAATAGCCACTGCTGTGCATCATTTACACAGCAGGTATGTAAAATGTCTTGAGTTCCTTCATACCAGCACTTGCCATGCAAAGCTCATAGTTCCTCTTTAGTAAGGGCTAAACTTGAGATGCAACTTGTGCATATCTGAAGTATTTGGTGCATTACCACAGGCAGAACTTATTTCCAGACCTCATTCTCAGAAGAAATAGGTAGAGACCAGCTAAACTGCTGTTTTGCAAATGATTTTACGGACACACCTCACCTCTTCCAACTTGTTCTCAGATTCCTTGCTATGATCACTTGACATTTCTCCATTTTTTCATTTTTGCTGTCAAACCCCTAGAAATTTCACCCAGGCCATACCGTAAGCACATTTTTTCTTACCTTCTCAAGCTCCTGCAAGTATACCTGGGCAATAACACACGCTCTCTCAAAACAAGCCATGACTTCCTCCTCCCTCTCACAGAGTCGAGCACGTGAGGCAATTGAGTTGGTTGAGCGCTCCAGTGACAAACCTGCAAAATGGCAACATCATCTTTAGCTGAAGCCCACCAACAGCAGTATGGCCATATTATTTTTAATTTACCAGCTGTCAGGAAGGCTTTTCCACATGTGGTTTCCCTCTCAATTTGATGACTTTCAGGACACTACCCCCATGAAAATACAATTCCTACACATGCAAGGCATCTTTGTCATGCTGCCCACACTGACACTGCACACTCCTACCGTGCCTTTCAAACACTTTATGAAGGCAGGACACACAATCCCTCTGGTAGGAATCAGCAAACAGAGAAATTAAGGCCTACATTTCCAGAGACAGCTACAGATCTTGGGTGCTTCAATTCAGTGCCAGCCTGGCACTGAATTTCATCATTTCTAGGCATCTGCTACTTCAAGTGAAGCTTTCAATAACCAGCAGTGTTGAGGGGAAAAAAAACAAACAAAAAAATTGCCTAACTGGAAAATTATACAGAAGCAAAGTCGGAAAATCTGAGGCCTCTCTTGGAAAATCTGAGCACATGCAGATTGCTCATGGACACACAGCAAACTCTTGGCACGGCACAAGAGACTCTTAACCACAAGATCATTCCCTTTCCAAAGGAAGGAAAAAACCCTGGGTTTTTTACTACTGAACTTCTTTCTTGTATCATTATCCAACACCACCAATAAACACAGAATATGTTAACTGAAAATGCACAGCTACTGATCCCTACTACCAGACCCTTGTCTGGGATCACACTATGACATCCTTTCTACCCTTAAATCTAATTGGATGGGCTACACATCCATATACCAGTTTTATTGTGATTGGTACAGGTTCTTATGCCACACTGGATCTCTACAAGACACCACTGCTCGAAAACTTGGATCTTCACCAATCACAGCTGCATCAACACCTCATAGCCCAACATACGTTGAAGAAAGTTCAGCACAAGCTTTCCAATTAATTTTATATATAACAATGTTCCCTAATAACAAAGACAAATATGTAAGATGCAATACAAAATTCTAGTATTCCTGACACAGATCCACAGAGGTGACAAAAGAAGAAAAGAATTCAGCTGTCCAGACAGCTGTCCAATGAAGTAATTTTAACTGTTGCAGCATGTGGCAAGGGATTTGGGAGGACCCACCACAGTCACCAGCCATGCTTTCCTGGACTTCCACAGTTTGAGAAGCACAGCTCCTCAGACTGCTCATTCCAGGAGTCTTGGCAACAAGCTGCTGTGAGGCAGCAACAGGCAGCCAGGTTTCCCCATGATGTATGATACAGTCTGGGCGCTCATGCTGGAGGAGCCTGAGGTTCCTAGGCAGTCTTAGCTTTGTTTACTTCTGACGTCCAACATTTGTTCCGTCCCCTTGGTTACTCCGCAAGGAGTTTCCCTATCCCATGTCTTACATTTGAGCCAGACATAAGCAGTTAGTTCAGTGGGTTGAGAAAAGGCCTCCCTGGTTCAAGCTCAGGAGGTGGCTCCCCACTCCTTCTATCCTCTCCCAAGTCAGAAGTACACAGTGTGCTCCCTCAAAGATCTATATCTTGAAGGAACACACATTCATACTTTTCACCTCTGAAAATACAGACCAGAGTAGAACAGGAGGACTGAATTTACTTCAAAATGACAGGATGTGTGGGAGAGGGATGACAATCATTTTGCTGCTCTTAAGTAATGCCCAATCTTTGTTTTCTTCTTCCTTCTGGTGAACACCTTGTACAGCATCCAGATATACCAGATTTTGTCTCCAGTTCATCTGTGAAGTCTCTGTCTTTATATCATGGGTTGCTTTCCTATTATTTTGATACTTCCATTTTCCAACCCCTTAACTTTGTAGTGAGTGAAGGGAAAAAATGCTCATTAACTCTCTCTACAGCAAAAGAACACAGATTTTGTCTCTAGTTCATCTATGAAGTCTCCGTCTTTATATCATTCTATTGCTTTCCTATTGTTTTGATACTTCCATTTTCCAACCCCTTAACTTTGTAGTGAGTGAAGGGAAAAAATGCTCATTAACTCTCTCTACAGCAAAAGAACAAACCAAAAGTATCCAGTGCTACAGTCAGAACAAATAACCTACAAAAGTTCTTACACCCATCTCAGTTTTATCTACCTCTGAATTTCTAGTCATTTCTCTTAAGTGAAAATAAATTCTAAGAAGTCTGCATTTCAGACTCATTTCCCTTAACGTGCAAAGTAGGGCTGAGGGCCCTGCAAAAAAAAATCCACTACAATCTACTGACACTCACATACAAGCAGCATTTAATCAAACTGCAAGAGGCATCCTAACACAGTCTGTATGGGGGCGTTTATCGTGGGAGATGTCACACGGATAGAAGAGGCTGATAAAAAACCATTTACATGCTACAGCCCACTGCAAGGAGTTACTACCTCTAAGCTCTGACATGGGGGAGGAAAGCAACCAGCCTCTGCCAGCATCAGGTACTGACAACAAACATGCCCATCCATGCAAGTCAGAAAAACAGAGCTGGGGCTGATCAGAGACAGGGGAAGGAACATATCCAGAAGGATTCTTACCACACTAAGTATCCAGCAATACAGTGTGTTAAAACATATACTATGCTACACTGCACTACTTGTAAAGGGCTAGAAGGAAAAATTACCCACATGATGCAACATTAGTCATGGTTCTCTCTCTATTACTCATGCACTGACCTGATGTCATACGAGTACAAAATCTTCTACAGAATCTAAACAGGGCTATTCTTCCCTTCCACAGAAATGCAACGAAAAGAAAAATTAGAGCAAGCAGACTGCAAATGCAATATACAAGGGGAAGAATAGAAATAAAACAACCTAAGTTCTCTACTCTTGCAGCCACCAATTCAGTTCCCACTGTACAAGGCCCCAACAAAAAGATTTGCTTAGGATGCAGCTGGGTAAGACTTGAGAAGCCCACCAGCATAAAGAGCACCAATTCCACTAACTCTTGTCCATCCTCCAGTTGCCAGCACAGAAAAGACTTTGCAGCACAACACACAATTTAATTCCAACTCAGTTTCCACAATGTGTCAGAAAGCCACTAAAGTGCATATTACTTCCACGCTGGGTTTAGCAAGCAAAGTGGAGCTATTGCAAAGACAGAACTAGCTTCCAAGAAAATCATGACTTACATGCTTTCTTGTTAGCTGGTTACGGTAAAGGGACTCAGGTATTTCTCACAATCAGCTGTGGAAAGCAAATACCAACTTAAAGCTTATCTATACTAAGATTTTTCTCATATTAATCAGGAGCCCAAATTTAAATAGATACATACCTATATAGTGTAGTAGTTTATCATACAGTGCAGACAGTTTTCTAATAGAGTATCTTGAGCCCAGGCTCAAGATTTCAAGACCTATTTCAAGATTATCCTTCTTTAAAAGAACAAATTCCACCCACTTCAGAGGAAGTAACTTTCTATGTATAGAAATGCTGCTTTTCTCTCCTGTATAAAGGTAAAGATTCCATTCACCTCCTCTAATTCTCCCAATCATTCATCTCTGGCTCTTTACCTTTCTATCATCTTTGCCCCTTCTTCCCCACCCCCAAATGTAAGCTGCATTTATGTAAGAAAAATCCCAAATCTGTAAGGTTTGTAAGATGTACCACTGAAGTAATCTCTTCGTTGAGTTGAAATGCACTGCTCTCAAATATGGAAATCTGAAAGGGGAAATTGTATGAAGGCGCATTTCCACTTTCACCTCAGTCATTCCTTGCCAAGGGAAGCCACTGATATCATATAGCTCCAATGCTCTGAGGTGATATTATTACCAGAACTGGAACATCATGGGCATGCGGTATCAGAGTCTCAGCAACATAAATGGGATGAAAATTCATGCTGGAAGGAATCCTTGAAGGTACATGGTCTGACTTGCTACACAAAGAAGGGCTAGCTCAGGGTGTTACTCAGTTTGGTCTTGAAAGCCTCAGTGCACAAGTGGAGACTGCACATGGACTAGGGAGGAGATTAAGGTGGGTTTATTTTTCTATGGTTCATAAACTAGCTCACCAAATAGCAGCTCTCCTCCTTCCAAGTATGAACAATATACCAATCCTTTCCTTTTTACACAGATTTCAAGCCTCCTATACTTGGATGAATTTAGACAACCAGGGAATAGGTGCAAGAATTCGAGGTCATCACTTTCACCAACAGTGCTACCCTGCAGCTGCTAAAATCCCATGGCCCAGGAGCATCAGAGCTACCTGGCAAGCTAAAGAGATCAAAGAAAAGCAACAGCATGAAGAGCATGAACCCAAACTCATGTGTTGCATCCCAGTGCTATGTGTTTAGAGCCACCTGGAAAGCTGAAGAAGAGATCAGAGAAAAGCAACATCATGAAGAGCATGAACCCAAACTCATGTGTTGCATCCCAGTGCTATGTGTTGAACACACCTATGGCAACGTGAAGCAAAAGACATCTTAGTGTGGAACTTACAGCCCTGCCAACAGCACCAGCCCCAGTCTGCAGAGCAAGGTTCCACTGTGCTCCTGGGCCACACAGAGAGGCCAGCCTGGCCAGAAGACACTGTGATGCTAACATAAATGCATGTAATAGTTTTACTCTATGTACAGGAAGGTAAGTAATTTGTCTTGAGATAAGCCATGCACGACATACTGCATGGCAACATCTGCTTCAAGGAAACTTGTTGTGTGCACATTCCCATGCTGCAGAATGCCAGGTCATTCCAGGTCACTGTCCCCAAGCAGAGGATGCACTTCTACCATGTGGCCTTCAGTCTAGTTCAGAAATGTCACTCTAGGAAATTAATTAGCATTGAAACAAGAATACTTTTAAGACTTCAAACATATACACATGCATGCTGACTAATCAACATTCATCAGAATACCAAACACTTTTCAGAGACAAAATTCAAAAGCACAACCAAACCACTCAAGAGATGGTATTACAACCAGTTTGCCCTGCCAGCTAAGGTTTGAATTTAAGAGCACAGTCCCAAATTAACCTATTCCATTACAGTGTCTTGGAAAGCAAAATAGCCCAAACCTCAACAAGCAG